GAACAGATATTTCAGCAAAGAAGACATCCAGATGGCCAACAGACACGTGATAAAGTGCTCCACATCACTCAGCATCAGGGAAATACAAATCAAAACCTCAGTGAGATCCCACCTCACACCAGTCAGAATAGCTAAAATTAACCGGTTAGGAAATGACAGATGCTGGTGAGGATGCGGAGAAAGGGGAACCGTCCTACACTGTTGGTGGGAATGCAAGCGGGTGTGGCCACTCTGGAAAACAGCATGGAGGTTCCTCAAAAAGTTGCAAACAGAGCTACCCTACGACCCAGCAATGGCACTACTGGCTATTTACCCTAAAGATACAAACATAGTGACCCGAAGGGGCACGTGCATCTGTATGTTTATAGCAGCAATGGCCACAACAGCCAAACTATGGAGAGAACCTAGGTGTCCATCAACGGATGAATGGATAGAGAAGATGTGGTGTATATACACAATGGAATACTATGCAGCCATCAAAAAAAACCCACACAAAATCTTGCCATTTGCAACGATGTGGATGGAACAAGAGGGTATTATGTTAAGTGAAATAAGTCAATCAGAGAAAGACAATTATCAAATGATCTCGCTGATAGGAGGAAAACTGAGAGGCAGTGGGGGGTCGTGGGGTGTAGGGAGGGAAAAATGAGACAAGATGGGATCAGGAGGGAGACAAACCACAAGAGATTCTTAATCTCACAAAACAAACTGAGGGCTGCTGGGGGGACGGGGGGAGGGAGAGGGTGGCCGGGTGATGGACATTGGGGAGGGTATGTGCTATGGTGAGTGCTGTGAAATGTGCCTGATGATTCACAGACCTGTACCCTGGGGCAAATAATACATTATATGTTAATTTTAAAAAGAAGAAAAAAAGATGCTGAACCTCACCGACATCGGAGAAAGGCAAAAATCAACAGGAGACAGCTCATGTGATACCAGGTACCACGTGTTCCTGCGGGTGTGGGAGACAAGAACTCTGAAACACTATCAGGACATAAATCAGGCTGACCGTGGAGGAAAATCAGTTACTACTCTCTAGTGCAGACTCACTCAGCCTACACACCGAAACGTCTAATTTGAGGAATACATCCTGATTTCTTTGAAACCCCTTCCCACATGCTTGAGAAGACAGGTACGAAATGGGAACTGCAGCCCTGTCAGGAACAGCAAAGTAGACACAACTGAAATGTCCACTAAAAGAGGAACGGAGGAAGGTCAAACACTCAGACGTCCAATACACACAGAGCTGTCAAAATGAGTGCACCGGGAGGCGCCTGGGTGGCTCCGTGAGTTTCGCCTCTGCCCTCGGCTCAGGTCAGGATCTCAGAGTCCTAGGATCAAGACCCGCATCGGGCTCTCTGCTCAGCGGGGAGCCTGCTTCCCTCCCTCTCTCTCTGCCTGCCTCTCTGCCTACTTGCGATCTCTGTCAAATAAATAAGTAAAATCTTAAAAAAAAAAAAAATGAGTGAACCGGGCCCCCACACGCCAGCATGCTGCTGAAGGACGCACACGGTCTGACACGTTACTACATAAATCTTTACATGGAACCACCAAACAACCTGTGCCCTCCTTAAAGACAGGTGTGTGGCGGAAGCAGAAAACCAGGAGCAGGAAAGCTGCAGATCAACATCTGTTTAGGGGTCACTTTGGGGTCACGTGTGTGGAATTAGTATTATCATCTGTACTTTTCTGTAAGTTCAAAGTACTTCAAATTTAAAATTCATAATTCTTGCGGCTGTGGAAGGAGTATAAGTTGGTACAATTTGCTCTTCGGATGGCAAGTGGGCAATCCTGTGTTAAGACCATACTTACATTCCATGGAAAATTCTACCTTGGGTACTGAACTGGACCGATGTGGTCACACGCGTGTGCAGAGATGTGTGTGCAGGAAGTCTCCACACTGAATGTGACAGCCAGTGGCTGGCAACGACTTACTTCCATCTGTGGCCCACTGTCAAACAACCTCTGATTCATCCCTCCAAGGAAGTGTTGCACCGCCATGAAGAAAAGAGAGAGAAGAGAGATTACAATACACGAACACAGAACGATCTCCGAGAGAGAGAGAAAGAGAGAGAGAGAGAGAAGGAAGGGAAATGAATAAGTAAATGAATGGAGGGAGCGAGGGAGGGAGGGAGGGAAAGAAAGAGAGAGAAAGGAGGAAAGAGAGCAAGGAAGAGCGAGCGAGCTGAGGGGCAGCCATGGCAGGGAGACCGGGAGAGCAAGGCAAAGGGGGCGGGCAGGCTCCTGTACCCCCTCAGTCTCATGTCTAGTTTTACCACATGAGGGTACCGTTCCCAAGTCCTTGTTTTTCCTTTTTTCTGAAGTCTATGTGAGCGCAGGATGGGGGGGAAGGGGAGAGGGACAGGGGAGAGAGAACCTCAAGCTCCCTGCTCCGCCTGACGCAGGGCTCGACCCTACGACCCTGAGATCGTGACCAGAGCAAAAACCCCGAGTCAGACAATTCACTGACTGAGCCACTCAGGCGCCCTTGGGGGGCATTTGGATTCTTTTTTAAAAGAAAGATAGCATGTTAACATTTTATTTTGCTAAACTATCCAATAAAGTGGAACCCAAAAAGAGACAAATCATAAATACAAACGGCCAATAAATGCATTTTTAAATGTTCAACCACACTGATAAAACAAAATAGATGTCCCTTTTCTCCCACCACACTGGCAAAAACGTAAGATGAGCAACTTCCAGGGCTTGGTGAAGACATGAAAAAGCGGGCACCTTCAAACATTACTGGAGGGGGAGGCCAAAGAGACAACGTTTGCAGTGGGAACTTGCTAGGACTTCGTATTTCATCCCTGCTGCACTTTTTAATGATTTTTTTTTTAAGATTTTATTTATTTGGCAGACAGAGATCACAAATAGGCAGAGAGGGAGGCAGAGAGAGAGAGAGGAGGAAGCAGGCTCCCTGCCGAGCAGAGAGCCCAACGCGGGGCTCGATCCCAGGACCCTGAGATCATGACCCGAGCCGAAGGCAGAGGCTTTAAGCCACTGAGCCGCCCAGGCGCCCTTTAATGACTTTATTAAGATAAAACTCACATACCATGCAATTCACCCACTCACAGTAGATAATTCACTGGCGCGCAACCATCACCACAATGAATTTCAGAACATTCTCCTCACTCTAAGAAGAAATCCTGTACCCCTTCACCGCCACCCTCTCCCCAATACTTCCATCTCTCACCATCCCTTCCCCTCCCACCCTCTGTTGCCGGCATTACTAGATCAGCATTACTCTGCTTTGTAGCTCTACAAATTTGCTTAGTCAGGATACTTCGTATAAAAAGAATCATACGTGCGGGGGCGCCTGGGTGGCTCAGGGAGTTAAAGCCTCTGCCTTAGGCTCAGTTCATGATCCCAGGGTCCTGGGATCGAGCCCCGTGTCAGGCTCTCTGCCCAGCAGAGAGCCTGCTTCCTCCTCTCTCTGCCTGCCTCTCTGCCTACTTGTGATCTCTGACAAATGAATAAATAAAATCTTTAAAAAACAAAAACAACGAACCATACACTACATGGTTATCAGTGTCTGCATCCTCCCACTGAGGGTAACATTTTCTTTTTTTTTTTTTTTTAAGATTTTATTTATTTATTTGACAGACAGAGATCACAAGTAGGCAGAGAGGCAGGCAGAGAGAGAGAGGGGGAAGCAGGCTCCCTGCCGAGCAGAGAGCCCGATGTGGGACTCGATCCCAGGACCCTGAGATCATGACCTGAGCCGAAGGCAGCGGCTTAACCCACTGAGCCACCCAGGCGCCCGAGGGTAACATTTTCAAGGCTCATCCCTATTGTGGGGGTCAGAACTTCACTCCTGTCTCCAGCTGCCTGACACTCCCGCGTGCGGAGCGACCGCTTCACCTCTCCATCTGCCAGCTGACGGACACGTGGGCCTCCACTTTTTGGCTACCACGAATAACACTGCTATGGACATTTGTGTGTAAGTTTTTGTGTGGACCTGTTTTCAGTTCCCTTGGGTTTGTACCTAGGAGAACGGCGGGGTTAGACAGGAGCTTTGTGCTTAAAACCGTGTGAGGCCCTGCCAGACTGTCCTCCAGAGAGGCCGCGTCATTTCGCCCTCCCACCAGCCGAGTGCGAGGTTCCAACGTCCCCACATCTTCCTCGACTCTTGTTACCGTCTCCTTATACGACAGGCGCCCCTGCACTTTTGCTCTGCACTTCCCCGATGACTGATGATGTCAAGCGCTTGTTCATGTGCTTACGGCCATCTATAGATCATTTTTGCAGAAATGTCTATGCATATCCTTTGCCCATGTTTAAATTGTCTATTAGGACCTAACAAACGTCTCGTGCGAACACCAGCAATCTCTCCGACGGAAGCGCGGACCTGCATCTAGGCTGAGGCTGCCCGTCCGGAGACCGCTCCTGGAGCGCTGTTCGTAACTGTAAAATGCCAGAAACTTAAATTTCGACGAATAAGGAACTAAATTAATGATGGCTCAGATTATACATGGGATATAAGGAAAAAATGTCTACGGCCTATTCAGCAATTGTCTAAAAGCTATCAACACAGAGTGGAATCCCACTCTGTCCAGAACAACAAGCAAGGCGTGCGCACCTGTCTAGAAACAGGCCTTCCTAAGCGGAGAAGTCCGCGGCTGTCTCTTTACCAAACCAAGTGGGCATCTTGGGGAGGAACCATGGGTGGTTGAAAAGGAAGATCTTAGCCTTCTTACACCTTCATGATGTTTTTAAGGGACGGGATGGTAAGCGTTATCTGTTTTTTAAAATATATTTTCCATACTTCTCAAAAATTAGCATTTTCAAGATTATTAAGGAATAGGTATCTTTTTCACTCACCACTGCACCCCCGAGCACTGCTCAACACTTGGCATCAGGATACACAATAAAAATGTACTGAAAAAACAAGGAACAGCTACTTCTGTGCAGCAGAAAATTGTTACAGCTCACACTTTAGGAACAGGACTCCCCACCTGCTCTAACTCAACCGTAAGCTAATAAACAGGGTCACTTACGTGATTGAGAAAATACTGCACAATTATCTCATGGCCAGCGGCAGCTGCTTCCATCAAAGGAGTAAATCCATACACCGGCTCCCTGCAAGACAGAGGCCGTGGCCAGACGATTAGCGGAGAGGAGTTCAGCCAGGCAGAAGCTTTCCTGCCGCAGACAAGCCCAAGCTGGCCCATCACCCGTCCCTAAGCGTCGAGGTCTCCCTCCCCCTAGAACGAGCAGGGAGACATAAGAAAAGTTCCTATCGACACCTGAGCCTCATAAATCTTTGTTTCTACCACCAGCTCTAGTCTTTCTCCCTCAACACAATCTGTCTCCCGCTCTTGACTCCCTCTAAGCTGCTTGCGCCGTCCATCTCTTAAATCTCCGTTTTAATTACAAGCGAAAAGCAGCGGTTGCCTTTCACTGCACACAGAAAACCGGCATCACCCGTCCACCTAACCAGATCCGACCTTTTGAGCTCAGCATTCTCCAGGAACCCTCCCGAAAGCTCTAGGACGAGTCATCTACTTTGTCCTTACTTTGCCTAGGATCTGATGCTTATTTTTGTGCTTGGTTCCGATTCGCCCAGCGCTGTCTACAGATGCCTCCTGACCCTTGCTTCTCTCACACTGGTCTAGAAGACAGGAACCAAGCTAAAACCCATTCCAAAACACAGCATTTTCACATTTTAACATCTCTGAGGTCAGAATTTATCTTAAATTCAGTAGGCAAGTGGCATTTTAATCAGTGGCATTTCTTTCTCAGTGGCATGTGAAACTCTGGTGCGTCTTACAGGGGGCGACTGCAGCCAGGGGCGTGCACCGTGCCCGCCTAGAAGCTGGGTTGGTACGTGCTGTGTTGAAAGGGGATAACTGTCATGACTGCTTTAGACAACACCACTTCCACCTTATAAAAATGAACGTTGCTTTCAAGCATCGGCTCACCGGATATAGACAAAAGACAAGAAGGAAAAAGGAATTAGCAATTAGTGTCAATCAAGTGCCGTTCGCTAGGCCACCAGGCCCCTGGTGTATGACAAACCCATAATTCCTCGAACAATTCCTCCGTGACATAGGTATTGCTGTCCCCAGTTCTCAGATAAAGAAAATGAGGCTCAGGGCACTGAAAGTGCTGCACCCAGTGTCCCCTGACAGATGCAGGAAGAAGCTGGGACTACCCACAAGCTTCCCACACGTGGGCAGGCCTGTCCCCTCTACCCAAGGAAGGGGCTACCCTGCACTCCCGCCCGTGGCTGCCTCCCCAGCTGCCCTCCTCAGAGCTAGAGCGACCACTAAAGACCTGGTAATCACCTCACGTTGGCATTCGCTCCACTGTCCAAAAGGAACTTGACCATCTGCTGGTGCCCAGCGCTGGTGCAGTGGAAGAGGGCAGTCCAGCCTTGAATGTCCTTCATTTCCAGCTCGGCACCTTGCTTCAAGAGAACACAGAATGCTCGTTACAGCCTCAGCTCCTCTGTGTGGGGTGGGCGTGCTCCAGGCCGTCGCAGTGCAAGAATCCAAGTGGCTACGAGAGCAAGCACACGTACGCCATGGTCTGCAGCGGCTCACGTCTCCGCCAGAGCGGCCAGACGCCCCACGCGTTTCTGGAACTGAGTCTCCTCGGCGCTCACCTGGAGGAGAAAGTAGGCGATGCTCTCGTTGCCACAGCTGGAAGCCAGCATCAGCGGAGTCTGCCCTTCTGGGGTCGGCACGTTCACGCTCACCCCCGCCTCGAGCAGCAGGTGCACGATGGTATCGTGTCCGATGTAGGAGGCATACATCAGCGGGGTCCAGCCACCACCATTCTTCTTATTCAAATCTAACTCTCTCCTAAACAAACGCAAGAGATGCCAGCCATGTCCAGCCATCTCACACGTGAGGTTTACCAAAGCTGGCAGCGAGGCCGGGCCAAGACAAAGAGCGGGAACTACAGCCAGGAAGCAGAGGTCACTGGCCACCCAGGACACCACGGGGGAGGGGAGGCAGGTGGGGAAACCGTTCGGTTTGCTGTACAGCCGCCTCTGCCAAGTCCTCAGAGCCATCCTCCTCCTCCAACTGCACGATGTCATTGCCCCCCGCCCCACCCAAGGCCAGCAACTCTTCTGTCCTACCCCCAGCTACACAGATGGTTCTCAACTAGGGGTAATTTTGGCATATGGCAAAGTCTGAGGACATTACTGGTTGTCACAACTGGGGAAGGAAAAGCTACTGGCATCTATGGGATGGAGGCCAGGGATGTGGCTAACTGGTTACCCTACATGCACGGGTCCCCAGTGGAGAATGATCTGGCTGGACTGTCAGGAGTGCCAGAATCAAGGAACTATGACCTGGAGCCTTCACTGCCTTCTACCAACAGACCAGAATCTGCCAGTGTGGGGCTGGGTGGACAGGGAAAGGGGACGGGACTCAGAGAATGGACAATTTCTCGCTTGTCACCCCATCCTATAGAAACATTCTTTAAAAATCACTGACCACTTCAACACTTGTTTTTGATTTAAAAAAAAAAAAAAATCACTGACCAGAGAATCCTATCTTTCTCATTGATTTCCATCAAAATTCTGGAAAAGTATTTGCCATAGGAAAAAAACCATGGGCTTCCCAGCCCAGAGTGTGGGGCTGGGGGATGGAAATCACATCCACTTCCAGGACAGCCTGAAGAGTTCACGCCCCGGGGCGGCTGGGTGGCTCAGTGGGTTAAAGCCTCTGCCTTAGGCTCAGGTCGTGATCCCAGGGTCCTGGGATCGAGCCCCGCATCGGGCTCTCTGCTCAGCAGGGAGCCTGTTTCCCCCACCTCTGCCTGCCTCTCTGCCTACCTGTGATCTCTGTCAAATAAATAGGCAAAAAAGGAAAAAAAAAAAAAAAAAAAAAAAAGAGATCACGCCCCATGGTCTCTCCTCTCACACAATCCCTGCCTCCAGTGGTGACAACCGACAATCGATCCACAGTCTATGCCTCTCAGAGGTACACACACAGGAAGGCACACCAGAAAATTATTTTCCATTCCCTAGCATTTTCTAAAGTCTCTGGGATACCCAGGCAGCCATTCCAGAAAGTCCTGGTCCTGGGAATGCAGTGGCAGCCACTGGCTGGGAGAGCACAGAGAGATCAGTTCATCCTGGCCACGTGCATTCACTGAGGGAGCGCTCAGCTCCACGTGGAGAAGAACTTGGCAGAGCATCTCTGAGGCTCTGACATGTCTAGTCGTGCTCAATCCTCCCTGGGAGGCCTCCTCTGCCTTCACGCTCCTGGGCGAGCTTTGGGCCACATTCCCAACCAGAGCACAAACACTTCCCCTCTCCCCTGTGGAGCCATTCAGGGCTGTGCACTTAAACAGCACACCCAAAGGCTTAAAAGCCCAAGAATGCCAAAGAAGCCATTGTAACTGGGATCTCAGCGACCCTATGAAGGAATGTGCCGCCTGTGTACCCAGATGCACATTCGTAAGGCCACCTGGTACAGGAGTACAACAGACCGTCCCTTACCACAGGCCTGCACTTGTACTCGATTGACTGTAAGTGATGGCTACGACTTGGGAACCAAACCTGGGGCTTACACGAGGCTTTGCTTTGGCTCCCCAGGAACTGAAAGAGGCACATAAGGGTACGGACTCAGGTTGTTTCTCCAAGTTGTCAATGAAAAACTGCAACAAGGAGGTAGACAGGTAAGGGGGGTGGAGGGGAGGAGATGGATCCTTCTTCAAACCACATTAACATTCGTGTAAGATTGCAGGGGACAATTCCCAGAGAGGAAGATAAACCCCCACCTTGTCCTCCTCTATGGCAAAAGCTTGAAGGGACAGGCAAAAGACCTAAAAATGAACCTTCTGGGGCAAGAAGGCCACAGTGCATCATTTTCTAACTTTCTTTTTGTTTTGCTTGAACATTTCTGCAATTCATAAAAAACATAAAATGACTCTAAAGAAAACCTGAAATGTCTCCTAAGCCTACGCAGTTTAAACCCTTTCTTCCGAGGAATACAAACTGACTTCGTTATTAGTGTCCAGCATGAATCATTACTGACAGGCGCAGGGACTAATCTGTGTGCACGGAATATCCACCACTGCGGGGGCCCCATGAGCTTACTGACAGCTCTGCCTGGGATCTGAAGCCACAGAGACACAACTCAAAATCTAGGTAGAAGAAACATTTCCCGAGATCGCTTACCGCTGCACACATTCCTTCACCACTTCGTACTGGCCGACGGAAGCAGCTGTGTGAAGATCTAAGGGGACGGCCAGCTCCTCCCGGCTGACCTGAGCCCCCAGCCCGTGCCACATGGACAAGCTGCGGTTCAGGAGCTCCGGCTCACTGGCTTCGTCGCTGAGCTCCGACATCACTACAGAGGGAGATCCAGGGGTCAGGTCTTTCCTTTCTGGTTGTTCCAGAGACTGAAACAGGATGGTCTCACTCCTACCGGCAGAGACCGGCTATGGCACTACTCTAGCAGACTCAAGGCAATCAACTCCTGGGACAGACTTAGAAAAGTTTCATTAGGGCGCCTGGGTGGCTCAGTCGGTTGGGTGTCAGCCTTTGGTTCGGGTCATGATCCCAGGGTCCTGGAATGGAGCCCTGCTTGGGCTCCTTGCTCAGTGGGGGGGCCTGCTTCTCCCTCTTCCTCTGCCATTCCCCCTGTTTGTGCTCTGTCAAATAAGTAAATAAATGCTTAAAAAAAAGAAAATTTTCATTAAATACTTCATGGGGGGCGCCTGGGTGGCTCAGTGGGTTAAAGCTTCTGCCTTCGGCTCAGGTCATGATCTCAGGGTCCTGGGATCGAGTCCCACATTGGGCTCTCTGCTCGGCAGGGAGCCTGCTTCCTTTCCTCTCTCTCTCTGCCTGCCTCTCTGCCTACTTGTGATCTCTGTCTGTCAAATAAATAAATAAATAAAATCTTTAATTAATAAATAAATAAATACTTCATGGGTTTGGGCAGCTCCATCCTGCTAATACTGGTGAGCTTGTCACGAGACAGAAGAAGAGGAGCATATACGGTGAGTCACACGCTGCAGTGAATACTTCCCTTCATCAAGCCTCAGGCCCCAGTTCTGCAAAGGGAATTCTCCAGCAACTCAGAAAGCCTGACAATCTCTTGGATGGGCAGTCAAGAAATGCTAATTGAGTCACTGGACCAAATCACACCTTGGGTGTGGTGACAAAGAGCCCTGGACTTGGAGTTAGATCAGAATTTAGCTGTGCTACTTAACACCTCCAGTCCCCAGTTCTTTGTTGTCTAATGGGGACATAGCTCAAAGGGCTGCTGTGTAAACACATGAAAGAATGGACAAATAAATGGTAGAAGGGCAGATGATGGAATGCTAGTAATAAGCAGAAGGAACAGTTGATATGCACAATATATGAATGGATCTCAAACACAACTGTGCCAACAGAAGCCAGACTCAAAGGCTACCTACTGTATGATTCCACTCATATGACATTTTAGAAAAAACAAAACTGAAGAGCTGGAGGACAGATCAGTGGTACTAGGGATCAGGAATAGGAGAACCATGAAGGGAGAGCAAGAGGGAATTTGGGGGTAATGTATCTGTTCTGTATCTTGATTGGTGGGTATGTTGACTCTATACATTAATCAAAACTCACAGACCCAAACACCAAATGAATGAATTTACTGTATAAAAATTTTAAACAAAGGCACCTGGGAGGCTCAGTGGTTAAGCATCTGCCTTCAGCTCTGGTCATGATCCAGGGTCCTGGGATCGAGCCCCACATCGGGCTCTCTGCTTGGTGCGGAGTCTGCGTCTCCCTCTACATTCCCCCTCCCCACCCCACCCCAGCTAGTGGTCCCTTTCTCTCACACACTCTCTCTCAAATAAATAAAACCTGCAAGAAAAAAATTTTTTAAACAAATCTTGAAAGTCCCAGCACAGAAACTAGGATGTGACTGGTGTTCAGCAAACGTTAACTGAGTAGGAATCCAACTATGAATTCCTTGAAAGTGGGAAAGCTGATGGGCGGGGATGGGAGGGGGGGGATCATAGACTGGTAAATCGGTGGGGTGAGAGAACTTTCCCAGAGATGCAACAGCACCAGGATGAAAAGTCTGTGATTATGACAGTCCCTTATCCTGGGAATCCTAACCAAATCAATACTTCCTGTTAGAACCTTGAGGTTCAAGAGTAACATCTGTCTCCTACTATACAATGGGTAGGAAAGAACAAGGAAACAAGTATAGAAAAGGGAGAAAACAAAGGTTGGGTCCATTCAGATGGCCTAAAGGTGCCCCAGCAATTCACAGGTGCCTCTAGGACCTCAGCCTCTACTGAGGAATGCTTCTAAGCTCCAGGTAACAAGCTGAGATACCCAAACAAGCAACAGGCCACCAATTTGGCCAGACTATGTGCACATGTGAGGGGGGCTGCAGGTATCGGAGTTCAGAGCAAAGCCCTGCTTTCTGGACCACCGCCACCTCCTCACACCCGAAGAGCTTGAGCTCAGCCAGTTTTCTCACTCTGCAGGTGAGAAACCTCAACCTGAACAGTCGTGGCCAAAAGATACCGGGTAAGAACACAAAAAAGCTGAGTGCCCGTTCAGGGCCTTTCAGTACAACCCTCAAGCCTCCAGCAGGTGTGTCTCTTCTACTCCAAATGCCTTCTCTGGAGTGGAGCCCACGTGGTCTCTCCCATCACTGGAGGGAGGCTCACACAGCTGACACCCTGCAGGGTGGCGATCACACCCAGCCCGGCTCAAGGGGCCTAGAGAGGGAGAACTCAGATGCCAAGGGCACACAAAGCTACCGCTACTGCCTTTATCACCCCACCACATGCCACAAACTCTACAATGATGGGGTATTTGTTATGAATAAAACGAGTGCGCTCATCCAAATATGCGTGTTCTTGCTCAGCGACCAAAACCCCTAACTAAAAAATAATGACGCTGGTGGTAGGCCTCCACGCCTACAGGGAAGAAGTCTCGTCCCGGCGCGCGTGCCCCTCGCGGGGACCGGGGTACCCACCCTGGTTCTCAGGCCCTGGGGAGGGTCGTTCGGGAGCACCCCGAGCCCCGACTGCACTGACGTCCCTTGACGCCTCCTCCGGGTAACTCTAGACGGCACGTGGCTCCGTAGTCCCCGCCGCGCGGCTGCATTAGGGGTAACGCAGTCAGAAACTCGCGCGGCGGGCCCCGCAGGCGGGTTTGCAGGTGCCGGCACCACACGGGGGCCCGGCCGCCAAGCAGCCTACCTGCGCTGGGCCCCCGGCAGCAGCCGCCGCACGCCCTCCGGCCGGACCGCTCACCACCAGGCACGCCCGGGTACCCTCCGCGCTGATCGCCGCCACACCGCCCGTACCCCACTGCCCCGCTCCCGCCCCGGAAGTAGTTGCGGGAGGCGCGGAGCACGCCGGGACGGTCGCGGGACTCCGGGGCAGCTCCCGGGGCCGCCGTGCAATTCGTCCCTCCCGCAGCCGAACCTTCCGGTCAGCTCGCCCGGCTCGCTGGGTGACGTCCACGGCAGCCAATGAACAGGGGGAGTTCGCCCTGCCCCGCCCCTTCCCTGGCCGGGAGAACCAATCCTGCTTCAAGAGAGGCAGGACGCGCCAAGTCCCGAAAGAGGAACAGGGAGGATAGTGCGGTGGCAGCCCAGTCATCGAAGATTCCGGAGAAGGGGTTGGGGGGATTCCGCAGGCCGTGACAGCCTCAATAGTTGCGCCGCAGCCCGAGGGGGCGAGCGCGACCGGAGGAACGCAGTGCAGACTGTTTATCGCCCTGTCAGGACCGCGCAGAGAGGGGAGGGGGAGGCCTGAGGTGAGTGGCCTCGGGCCTGCAGCAGCTGCGAAGGTACAGGTCGGGATTTGGACAGGACGGCGGGAAACGGGGAGTAGGGGTGGGTGGGAAGGTCGGCGATGTGTTTTCCTCTTTCCCAGCTTTAGATATTTAAAGGCCTGACCCGGGAGGCCGTTGGCGTCTGGTTGTCATAACAACGGGACGCCTCCAGGCAGGACGGGCCGGGGGCGGGGCTAACGGGCTGCTGCCAAGAAACGGACATGGACTTACCGCCAGGATTCGGAGGAGACTGGAGCGGCTCTTTGGCTTACCTTTAGGCATTAACCCCAGTCCGCTGAATGAGCCTAAGTCCTCACCTGGGCGTTCAGGACCCTGCGCGATCTGGTCCGTTCTCACCGCAAATTCCAGCAACGGATTCCTTCTTCCCCCAACTTGTTGGGCAATCTCCTCTCCTCTGAGCCACTGTTTATGCTGTTCCTGCATCCGGTAGAGCCTTTCCCTCTCCTGTTGCCTTGCCTATCTAGAAGAACCTAGTCTCTGGTAGCCGCTTTCACCTCAGTGATTCTGCTGTCCTACAATCGGCCCTACAGAGCCCCGTTTCCAAAAAAGCATCCGCTGATGTGTATATGAGTTGCGTCTCCACCCTGCTGTTAGCAGTTCAGGGTGCACGAACTCCTGCCCCTGCTTCCCTAACCACAGAAGCATCACATCTCCTGCTGCTACCCTAATGGGATATTAGCTAGACAGGGCTAGGGCCCGTGGGCTCTCTTCCCGTCACCTACGCACCAGTGGCCTCTGGTGCCGCAAGGGGCGTCCAGACACTGGCTCTGAAGTACCATCATCCCACATTCCTAAAGCCACCGTGACCCCTGAGGGACCAGGCTTTCTCCTGTTAGACTCTGGGATACAAAAGGGGGAGGATACTGGTTAAATGCTTGGGTAGAGGAGGTTAATCTGAGTAGTGAACCCAAAAATATCTCCTGAGGACTCCAAAATGCCTAGTCCTGTGTAAGGGGGCAGTAAAGTGTAGTGAGCTTGAAATCCCCTCTAACTCTGATACGAATTCTATTTTTGCCATTTACTGACAATATAACTTCTCTGAGTCTGTAAAAGGCAGATAATAATAGTATCTATGTTATGTGGGATACAGTTTATAGTCTATTTGTCATACACACAGATACTCTATCATATACATATACCTACCTATGTATAGGTTATTATGGTTATTATGTATCTTTACATAGGTTAGGTTACTATGTATCTTTATATATATATCTATATACAGTTGACCCTTGAACAACACAGGGGTTAGGAGTGCCCACCCCCCACACACAGTCAAAAATCCACATAGACCTTTTTTTAAGATTTTGTTTTTAAGGGGCTCAGTCTGTTAAGCATCTGCCTTTGGCTCCGATCATGATCCCAGGGTCCTGGGATCAAGTTCTGCACTGGGCTTCCTGGTCAGCTGGGAGCCTGTTTCTCCCTCTCCCTCGGCCCCTCCGTCCCCTGTTCTTGCTCTCTATCTTTCTGACAAATGAATAAAATCTTTAAAAAAAGATTGGGCAGAGGGAGAAGCACCCCCCACCCCACCGCCAAGTAGAGAGCCCGATGTGGGGCTTGATCCCAGGACACTGGGATCATGACCTGAGAGCCAAAGGCAGACACTTAACCGACTGAGCCACCCAGGGTCCCCCACAAAAAAAAAAAAAAAGATTTTATTTTTGAGTAATTTCTACCCAATGTGGATCTGGAACTTACAACCCCGAGATCAAGTGTCGCGTGCTCTACCAACTGAGCAAGCCAGGCACCCCTCCACATACAACTTGTGACTCCCCCAAAACTTAGCTACTAATAGCCTACTGTTGATTGAAAGCCTAACTGGTAACATAGTTGATTGACATATATTTTGTAAATGTTTTATATGTTGTATTCCCATATAAAATAAGCTAGAGAAAAGAAAAAGTTAAGAAAATCGTGAGAAAATGCACTTACAGTACTACACTGTGTTTATAGGAAAATAATCTGCATACAAGCGGACTGGCGCAGATCAAAGCCGTGTTGCTCAGGGGTCAGCTGCTTCTGGACCCCACCTGCACCACACACAGAGTGCGGGCACAGGGACCGACAGGAGCAGGAACCTGCATAACCAGAAGGGAAATCAAGTAGGAGGTCTGGGAGTCTGTGTTCATCCCCCACGGTGTAGTAGGTGCTTTGAAAAGGCAGCCCTCTCTCCCTACCCTGCCCTGAGCTCCTGACCCTTGGCCCCGGGACCCTCGCACTTCACCCCGTGTCCCCTGCAGGGCTGCTTGGATGATGGCATGCTGAGAAGCACCCCAGAGCCTGGGCCCCCATGGCATCCCCAGACAAAGATGAGGAGTCCTCATCTCTCTGGGCCTCCCAGACAGAGCCCTGGGATGCCATCCTCAAGGCCGTCAGGGAGCAGCTCCCATCACTGGATTCAGATTCCTCTTTGGTAAGCAAGTGCCTTCTTCCTGTTCTTTCTAGGCCCCAACTGCCCTTCCTTCCCAGGGCGAACATGCTGCTGCCCCACAGACAGCTCTGGAGCTTTTCAGCTTCTGTGTTTGTCATAATCTTGGTGGTTTTTATTCTCTGAATACATTTATTGATACTCAGAATCCTCCCAGGCCATTTCAGTGACCCCAAACCATGACTGGAGAATTCCCCCACGAGCTTATCAGGATGCACTGAAATGGTAACATACATTCATTGAACAAACATTTATGGAGCCAACTTTGCCTTTTCAAGAACAAGAGCAGCAGCATGGCAAGGGCAGCTCGAGCCTGAAGCCCCCCACCCCCGGCTCTGTCCACTGCCCTGTAACCCAAAAGTCCTCTCATTTGTCCACAGTCAGACTGCGGGCCAGAAGAGCTGTTCATCTTCCAGCGAGATCAAACTGCCCTGATTCCAGACTTGTCAGAGGAGCCGGCTGAAGACCCTGCCAGGGCCTGGCTTGCTACAGCTGATGGGCCTTCTGAGGTCTGTACGAAGCAGGCTCCAGGGATCCAGGACGCTGGGCCCCTGAGGGCAGAATGGGGTGTGAGTGTCCACTAGACCCTAACAGCAGTGGAGCTCAAAGAGGTTAAAACCCCAGCACTCCCCAAACATTTGTTGACTGAATAATGGTGACAGTGGGGATTCAGAGGTAAGAAGGTGCCCCTAGCTGGAGAGGCCAGATGAACGCAAGAAACAATTAGGAAATACCACAGCACACTCCGTAACTAAGTATCGTAGTTAGTCATCACCAACCATCAGAGCAAAATTTCCATTTTCTTGTCTTTCCATTTCCCAGAGACCGAAAACTCTACCAAAAACTAATGGCTTGGTGCTTAAAATTAATTGCTCCCTTTATAAAGAGAAGTCATCAATACGGTTTCATCACTGGGCAAGTCCCCAACCGGTCAGGCCTGTTCAGCTCCTGTTAAAGCTCCAAGAGACTGGCTTAGCTCCATTTTAACTATTATGACTAGACGTCACTCATTAGCCAGGGGAATGGGGGAAGCTGCCTAAGGCCAACACTGCCAGACTTCCGACGAAGCAGGGAGAGCAGACTTTATTCAGTAACTGCTGGCAGCACGGGAAAGAGCTGAGCTCCGTCTGGTCTGTGCAGAGGTGACAGGGGTTTTAAAGGGAGAAGCAGGGAGGGGAAGAACAGGGCCCACTAGGGTCAGGGCCATGAACGACCACAGAGAGCCGGTCAGTGTGGGTGTGACCAGGCCAGGAGGTGTGTCTGCCGGCACGTATGGGAGTCGGCAGTCCCACGGAGAAGGGAGACAGAGGCCAGGTCCTCCTGAAGGGCCCATGACAGATGTTTCTGGGTTATAAGAGACACACATTCACAAAAATAACCGCTTTTGGTAAATGCTCTAAGAAAGGGAGGTCAGGTGTGGTTGTAACAAACACTAAGTTCTCCCTGCAGAATGGAGCTTTCTCAGGGGGTGTGTGGGGGGGGTCATTCTAGCCCTGTGCTGCTGGAGGCCGCTCTGGAGTCTGGTCAAGTCTCTCCATACGGGCGTGGGCAGAGTGGTTCTGCGCCGGCAGTCTGTCCCTCTCAGTGCAAGCCCTGACACAGGGTCGTCCTACAGAACCAAGCAGGGCACGTCTCCTACCCGCCACCGTGACAGATGTCCCCCACTCACTCAGCCATGCCTGGAAGTATAATCCCAAACAGGAGAAACTCCCAGGGCTGCCAAGCCCTCTGGTTAGTACGGGTGCAGCGATGGCCACAGGACTTTATCTCATGCTGTTTTCATTCCTCTAATTACCTCGGTGACGCTCCTGGAGAATTTTTTTCAGTTTGTGACGGGAAAGTCTGCACCGCGGTGTTCATGGGGGCAGAAACCATGGGCTTGCTCTGCAGTCGAAGGGCCTGGCTTTCTTCTTGTCCACCCCTTAACGGCTATGTGGCCGAAAGGTGAAAACAACCTGTGTCCATCAACAAACCAAACGGACAAACCAAACGTGGTGTGTCCATACAATGGAACATTCACGGAAACAAGTCCTGACACAGGCTACCACCTCAGTGGACCTTGGAAACATAAGCTAAGCGAGGACACAAAAGGACCAAAGTTGTCGGATTCCACTTAGATGCCATATCTAGAATAGGCTAATCCACGGAGACAGAAGGTAGACTGGAGGTTACCAGGGGCTGGGGAACGGGGAGGCACAGTCCCTTTGGGGTGATAAAAAAGCTTTGGAAGTAGACAGTGCTGACAGCTGCACATTATGAATATACTTAATGCCATTGAATATTTTAAAATGACTAAAATAGCAAATTCATGTTACACACATATTTTACCACCCACATACAAATTCCCTGAAGCTCGTCTCTGAGGATACTAAGGACACCTACCTGTTTTCTCTGCAGGCAGGTGTGGTGTCTGTGGAACTCACTGCAGGACGCTGGAGTAAGGGGGGCGCAAAGACAAAGGGTTCTGCCTCTGTGCAAGGCGGGGATCCTGACAGGCCTGTAGAGAGCTGTGGTGAGACCAGTTCCCTTCTTCGGGTGCCTGCGGACACCCCCACGTGGGAGGAAGGCAACCGTGGGTCTTTGTCCTTCAGCACCCAGGGTTCCCCCCGGGAGCCACACGGAGAAGCCACCTTCTCCCCCTGGGAAGATGACCTGAAAACAGAACCCCCAGGTGCTGCCTCACCAGCTGGTTGGAGCACAGACTCCAAAGACCACAGAGCCCCCCGAAGGGAGAGGAGGAAGATGATTGAGAAGAACATACTCCATAAAGTTACCTGGGATGCCCGCGGCCCAGCCTGCAGTGACCGAAGTCCGGTGGAGGAGGCAACAGCAGGTCTGAGACCAGAAACGCCCCCAGAGGGGCCCCGGGAAGGACTTCTGGTGCTTTCCCTCAAGGTAGGGAACCCCCTAGCCCGCGCTTCCTTTGAGGGGAGGTCCCCTGCACGGTGTCAACCTGAGGCCTGGCCCACGACACCTGCCCTAGTCTGGGCTGCTGTGATAAACTCTCATAGACCTGGGGAGCGGGGCTTAAACCCCAGAAATTAATTTCTCACAGTTCCAGAGACTGGGGAGTCCAAGACCACAGCGCTGGTATATCTGATGTCTGTGAGAGCCTGTTTCTAGGTTCACAGATGGCATCTTCTGGCCGGGTCCTTGTGGAAGAGGCGAGGAAACTCTCTGGCCCTCTTTTATAAGACCTCCACTTTCAGGACCTACTAGTCACCTCCCAGCAGCCCCACCTGTAAAACACCATCACACTGGGGGTTAGGAGTTCAACCTGTGAGTTTTGGAGGGACACAGACATTTAGTCTACAGCAATAACTACAGGCCCCTAGGTCCATGGTCCCAGGTCCTTCAGCGGGCGGTCATGCCTGTCTCAGTGGGTGTGTGGTCGTGGCAGATGGACCATCCTCAGTAGAGGTAACAAGAACAAGGAACAGCAAGAAGACTGAAGGAGAGGAGAGGACAGGAGAGGAGAGGAGAGGAGAGGAAGGGAAGGAGGGAGAGAGGGAGGGGAAGAAAAGAAAAGAAAAGAAAAAGGGAGAGGGAGGGAGGGAGGGAGGAAGGGAGACTAATCCAAAGCATGTTTATAAAGACAGACAACCACATATGAGATACAGAACAAACTTTGTTAAAACATAATTGCCCAAATGGTCAAGGCTTCATTTTCATACAGATAGTGTGAGTATTTAGCTCATTAATGAGGGAACCAGCAGGATGACAAAGCCGGTTCAGAGAGATTATGAGAAAGCAGGATTTTGTAAAATTCTGGGGAGAAAGAAAGGGATGTTGAGATAAAATGGCACATGAAGTACAAAATCGGTCAGCATCCGACAAGCAGCAAAGCTATCCGTTACCTACAGGGTTACCATCTCTACGGGACAGAAAACCACTGCACCTGTTTCTCAGGTTTACAAAGTCATAACATGGTCGCCTGTGGAAACCAAATTACCCCCGCCTCCAGGAGGTGGGCTCGTCAGGGAAGCTCTAGCATGACATTTAAACATTGTGCGATTTTTTTTTTTGCCTTATTTGCAAATTTTGATTAATTTTCTTAACAACTTAGAGAAAACTGGCCTTAGCTTATACATGAAGGTTGTACATGAAAGTCATTTTTACCAATTCCTTTCTCATCAAGTGCTGTTGAAATAAGCCATTCTTTCCTTTCTGCTTGCCCTGAAATACCTGTTTTCACACACCTCTAGCGCTGCGAGAGGGTCCACAAGAAACACCAATTCCTACTTCACTTCCTCCCTCCTCTCATCACAGCCAGGATCCCCCAGTGCTGTCTTCCCAGTCCTCCTGTGACAGCACCAGCCCAGAACAATCTTTTTTTTTTTTTTAAGATTTTATTTATTTATTTGACAGAGATCACAAGTAGGCAGAGAGGCAGGCAGAGAGAGGAGGAAGCAGGCCCCCTGCGGAGCAGAGAGCCCGATGCGGGGCTCGATCCCAGGACCCTGAGATCATGACCCGAGCCGAAGGCAGAGGCTTTAACCCACTGAGCCACCCAGGTGCCCCAGCCCAGAACAATCTTAAAGAGCAAAATGTTTAAACCTCCCATCACTAAACCTGTATAAACCTAAGGAGCTTAAGACAACACTGGGTTTCTGGGCCAAACAGTCTTTGTACCAAAAACAAAAGTATTGCTCAAAAAAGCCGTAGGAAGGAGATGGCAGGAGGTGCGGGTGACAGAGTGTCCCCGTGGCCGGGCACCTACACCCTGGGGATTCCTCACCCGCAATGACCCACGATGGCCTCCGTTGGTCACAGCAGCTGTGGAATCGGGCACTCCTGCCACCAGGACCCTGCACTGCCTCGTAATCACTGCTTTAATTATTTCAGGAACTTGAAGAGTGGGATTTGGATCACATCCTTCAGAGTCTGGCAGGGCAAGAAGGCGACAGGGGAGATCGCGCACCTAGAGCCACGTGGTGGGCAGCTGACCGCCTGGGCCAAGGTCTGACCTTGAATGCCGGGGCCCAAATGCATGCCCACAAGCAGCTCCTTCCAGGCCCTCTCAGTAAAATAGGGTCAACCCTGCAGCCCACCATGTCCTCTCTGCTGCTCAGGCCCCATGGTCCCAAACACACAGGTGCCAGTCCGTGGAAACTTCCATCCACTCATTCACTCACTCATTATATATATAACCCCCTACTGGGTGTTGGGAGTGGATGAGGGTCTGGGGATAGGAGAGGGGGACCTTCACACTGGTCCCTACCCTTGACTCACACCTTTCCCTCCTGCCCACCTCCTCGGGCCTTCCTCTCTTTCTGGAAGCAAAGAGATCTGGGGTTTGTTGTCCTTCAGCCAGCGGCTACGCACACCCTGCCTCCACTCACCTCCCCAGTGACAAAGCAAGCCAGGGATGTGATGACTGCCACTGCATGTGTGCCCTTGCTCTGGGCAGTTCTGTAAATAAAAGGAGAGCTCCTCATCCCCTCTCCAGAGTGGAGGCTGGTCTGAGGCAGGAGCGAGGAGGGGTGGGGGTTCCAGCCTCCACTTCCAGAGCAAACCTCCTCTGTGGCTGAGAGCCCCTAGTGCTTTTTCAACGTGGTTTTGTTTGTCAGTGATTTAAAGCCTTAGCGCAGGCAGGGGCTGGCCTGTGCTGTAACCGATAGACACTTTAGGGAGGGCAGTGTGGCAGAAGCCACTCTCATTAAAACCATGGAAGCCTTTGACCCCCTTACTAAACTGCTAGCGTCTAACCTCCACACACACCCCAGTGGGCAAGGATGTGTGTTCGAGGATGTTCGTTACAGCGCTGTTTATGATTGGGAAAACCTGGGCATGACCCATATTCAGTATCCAGCAGGAGTCAGGCTCGGACACCACAGAACGCGCTAAAACTCAGTGACGAGAATCTATGTTAACATAGAATGACATAATCTCTTGCATGAAAAAAATCTATAGAGAATAATTCTGTTGAGATTTTTTTTAAAAAAGTGAACACACAGAACTGCTAATTATGGTTCCCTCTGACGAGTGGGACTGGGGGGTGAGGAAGTGAGGGAAACCATTCCTTGTCGCTCCTACTGGCACGGGGCCTGCGCGCAGATCGCTCCCCTGGTCCTGCAGAGCTGGGGACGTGGGGTCCTCATAGAGGGCTGTGGGTGGCAGAGGGGGTCCACAGTAGACCCACACGAGGGAGTCCAAGGGGTCCTAAGGCTCAGGCTGCTGTAAGTCAAAGCATGGGTGTCCCCCTCAGCAGCCTCCCCGCTCTCCCATCAGACCACACCCGGCCAAAGTGCCAGGACGGGCTCATGGAACAGCTCACCCTTCTGTGTGCCGCCCAGTCGCAAGCCCCTTCTGCCAACATAGCCCAGGACACCACGCAGCACGAGGCCGAGAGCAGGTGAGACTTCTGCCAGCCACAGCCTGTCCTCTCTCTGGAACTGGCCATGCCCTTGCAGCATGTATCAGGTCTACCCTGGGTACGGCACTGAGGCACAGTTCTCATTTCCTCTCAAGAATCTGATCAGGTAGGTGCTGCCATTATCTCCATTCTACAGATGGGGAAACTGAGGCTCAGAGGTTGACCTACCTGGGCCATACGTGGCAGAGCTGGGACTCAAGGCCCAAAGCACCTGTTCTTGCACACGCCCTGGGAACCCTCCCTTCAGCATCCACATGGCTCCCCCAGAGTAGGACCCTGCCCCTCTGGCTGCTGTTAATTAGGCCAGCCCTGGAGTCTAACGCGAGCCAGGCCGATCAGAGCCTTTCTGTGAGAATCTCCCTGTCTCTGGGTGGGAATGGAAGGGCAGAGGTGGGCACAGGGCACTGGGATCCCTTAAAACCTACTTCCCACTCTTTTTTAGGAGTCTGAGAGCCAATGAATTCTCCTTTTCATCCAAGCTACTTGGGAGTGGCCTCCTGTTCCTGGCAACCCAGTGACCAATAGAAATATCTAGGGGCGGGTGGTGGTTCAGTGGTTTGAGTGACCAACTCTTGGTTTTGGCTCAGGTCATGACTTTGGATTCTGCACTCCGAGGGGAGTGTGCGTCCCTTCTCCCTCTCCCACTGTTCCCCCCACCCCTGCTTATACTCTGTCTCTTTCAAATACGTAAGTTTAAAAAAAAAAAAAAAAAAAAAGCATCTAGACTTGTGCTGTCCAACCGGTAGCCTCTGGCCACACGCAGCTATTGAACCCTTGAAATGTGCCTGGTGCAACTGAGGAAATGAATTTTAAAAATTTATTTTTAAATTTAATTTTAACTAGCTTACAAGCAAATTTAGGTAGCTATTTGTAGCAAGTGGCCACCACGCTGGGAAGCACAGATATGGAACATTTCCAGCACCACGGACCGTCCCGTGGGACAGTGTCGGCCCAATCTTGAGGGCTGTTCTGAAGAGCAAAAGAGCAGGTGCGCTTACAGGGCCTAGCCCAGGCCACACTGTCATCACCGAGTGACAAAAAGCCCTGCTCTCTCATCTCAGATCTGCTCCAGGCATCCAGGCTGAGCTGGGCCTGGCCCAGAGCAGGCAGCTAAGGAGCCCAGCAGAGCCTCCCACCATCTTCATCGATCTGCGGCCCTCGGAGCCTTCAGACCCCGGGTCGGTGGAAAGGTACTGGGAGCGGTGACGGTGGGAGTCACGCTGGTGTGGGCAGTCCCAGAGCACCACTCAGCGGAGAAGTGCTTTCAGCCAGGAGCTGAGCCTGGCCAACCCTCCCGCTTGGTCCCATCAGCAGACTCTCCCTACAAGGAGGCAAGAACCCAGGTGGAGTTCTGAGCAAACAGAATCTGAGCTTTGGTACATCGCCCTGGGGGGTGTCCCTCCACTACTTGGCAGGAAATCCCAGTGGCCTTGCATCAACAGGGAGGCCTGGGTGGCCTGGGGCACATCCCATGGAGCCCGTTTTCCTCTTCTCCAGCTCCAGCCCCAGCCCTAGCTCCTTTGACAGCGAGGAGGAGGAAGAGGAGACAGTGGCTCTCAGAGACCAGCAGGGCCCCCCCGAGCAGGAGAGTCCTTCCCCCCGGCAGCTACGGTAACCACCAAGGGGCTCCCATCACCTGGGGACGTCCCATCTCTGCTTTCCACGCAAGCCCTCAGCCTCACACACTGAACATTTGTGCTTTCAGCTTTGTCTTGTACCCACAGGGACAGTATGTGTGGGTCTGGGGAGAGGGGTCTAGGTGGTGGCCGTGGGAGCTCACTTGCGGCCCGGCCTGGACTGCTGTCCTCCCAACATCACCAAGAATACCTTAGTTCACTCCTGAGAAGGGAGTAGTGCTTTCCTTCTGAAAAATACCTTCTCAAATCGATTTACACCCTACCCCTGATAGCACTGGAAGTGAAGTTGTTGGGATGGAATGAAGTGATGGTTTTTGGCTAGAAATGAGAAGAGGAAGTGCAGTGTCCCATTTGGAGACGGCCCGCTTCCCACCGGGCAGAGGCCTCGCACAGGGGTCCTGGGGCCACTCAGACTTATATGCTGTATCTCGTTTTTGGAATTGCAAAGCCTGTGGATCCTGTCCTCTGGGAATGTCAGAGTCCAAGGCCGCTTTCCCCCTCAAGTACATGTCTAGGCACAGAGGAAAAAAGAAAAAAAAATCTGAGCTGAGAAGTGTCACACAGGTGAGCTCCCAGAAGCCTTGAACGGCTGACATGCCCTGTGACTCAGCACAGGCTGAGAGGCCAAAATCTCTCACTTACCGTCTTGAGAACCAGGAAACACAATTCTGGAAGCACTCTGGCCCCTTCCTGTGGGGAGGTCTGGTGTTGACTGATCGTCTCTTGTGTCACAGGGACTGCACTGGGAAGAGTCAGCTTCTCCAGCAGCTCAGGGCATTTCGGAAGAAGACGGCTCAGCCCAACTGGCCTGCCACTGGGGGTCCCAGCGGCCAGAAGGCTCAGGTCCCTGAAGATCCAGCCAGCTCCACAACTAGGAGGAAGCAACATGTACCAGCTTGGGCTGAGCCCCAGAACACCCCAGCCAGACGCCCAGGGGGAGGTCCCAGGGCGCTAGGGGACGCTCTTGGGCCAGGGACGGCCAGGGAGGCCCTGGTGCCTCCCCTGAGCCAACCGTAGCTGCCTCCGGGAACCGAAGGGAGGAGGAGCTGGATGGGATGATTCCACTCTCCATCCGCATGCCCTGGCCCCTGGCTCTCCCTTGTTTCCGTGACAAGGTGCTGCTTCTGCAGCACGGGGACCCTTGGGCTGTGGGGCATTCCATGCACTTAGAGCAAAGACACCAGAACACAACCGTACAGAGCGCATGATGACAGCGCCTCTGACGGCGCCTGGGAAGCAGACCCCAGAGAGAGAGCACGGTCTGTGCCGACAGTGAGACTGTCCAATTTTTTCTCTCCTGTGTCTGTACCCCTCTTTGCTGTGCATCTGTTATTGGCATCAAGCAAGCTCTTCCTAACATTAAAACTTAAGTAAAACATATTTAGAGAATTTCAGGGTTGAAAGGGTCTTGCAAGAGAATCGAGCCTGATCTTCTGGGTCCCTGGCTGCTTGCTACTCTATGTGCCTAAAGGAACACACCACAGGCTCTCTCTCAAGCACCAAGTGGATTCTTTGATAAAGCGGTGAAGACTGAAGGTCTTTTCCCCTTTCACCACGATACAAAGGCACACATCTGTTTTAGGGTCCTTCCAAACTATGCGTGGAGCTGACCTTCCCAGAAAGTACCGAGTGTCCTGACACCCAAATGGTCCCCACGGAACAGGGCAGCGCCCCGCCGTGTGGATGACATCCCTTCTGTTACTTTGCAATCACTATTCCCCACCGCCCCCCATTTTCAGTCCTTTCATATTGTCTCAGCCCTGCCGTCCCCAACAGGCTGAAGCCCGGACCTGGGACTACCTCTGTTCTCTGGTCAACTTGTATCTGAGGTTCCGCTTCTCACAGTCTCTGCCCGTTTCGCCCCACCTGCCCCAGGGGAAGAGCAGTCATCTCAAGTCCCCGTGACAGGGGCTCAGCGGCCTGGCAGGGTCCTTGGGATTGGGCACCTGTTCCAGCATTCGGTTGAGGTCACCACATGCTGGCATGCGCTGAGGATAGGTAAGGGTCTCTCCATCAAGCCCTGCACCAGGCAAGGAAGGCTCAGCCAGGACAGTGAGAACCACAGACCCCTGATATGGCCAAGGGGGCCCCCACACCAGCTCCCACCTGCACCGGTGAGGGACCAGGGGAGAGACAACTTCCACCAACGCCACGGGAGGCCCTGGGTGGGCCTATTAGCAGGGAAGGTGACCAGGCTGTGTCACCTGGGCTCCCGGGTTTCGCCCATCTGCGAAAGTCCCACCCCCTCTGCTCCAGGGCACCTGCTGTGCGGTCAGGGCTCGGCCGCTGGGCAAGGCAGACTGAACGTGACCACCTCCACCCATGCAGCCTGTCCAGAGCAATGGCCAGCTTTTTTTCCCTTTAAACCCCTTTTCCCCATCTCTACCCCCTTTAATGCCAGGAAGTTCATTAAGCATGTTTCACAAAGTAAGAAGATAAACGCTTTGTTCCAAGTTCAACTGGGTGAGTGACCATTAAGGCAAGCCAAGAAGATGACGGGGTAGGAGTCCAGCTGAGTTTACAGCCAGTTCTGCCACCTGGACAAGGTGGTAGAAGCACTCGGGACCTCAGTTTCCCGTCTATAAGAGGAAAGTCACAAAAGTCCTATGTCCTAGGACTGTGTGAGAGAATATTCTGGAACAGGCACTAATGGGCCCGGGTCCCAGGTCAGGAAGCAGGCGGGCAGCCGCCTCAGCACCAGCCTGGACACAACAGAAGTGAGCCTACAGACGGCCACATAGGGAAGGAGGGTGGTCGGCAACGCCAGGCATGCTCAAGAGCCCTGGAAGGAGGCCTAGAAGGTAAAACCGTGCTTCAGCTGAGTGGCCCCTTCTCTGGAGAACACACAGGGCAGAGCACACGAGGCCGGAGGGACCAACTTTGTTTATTAAAGGAACCAAGAACAAATCACGCATCCTGGAACCTGGGTTACACTGAAAGATGGAAAATACCTACAGTGATTGGGTAACAAACAGAATGGAGCACAAGACAAGGCCCAAGGCAACCCCACCATGGGAAACTGCCACACTCCCTGCATGGAATGTTCCAGAACCAAGGGGTTTCAGCAGCTGCCCCAACTCCAGTGACATGAAACAGAACAGGGACCTCTACGGGAGCGCCAGCTGCCTGTCTGCCTCAGAAAGACCCAGTGGGTCAGCCAAGGCTGCCTCTGTCCTGGCCACCTGGGGCTGGAACAAAGACAACCATGGACTCCCGCCGTGGGGACAGATGGGAAGACAGGTCAAATCCACAGGCTTCCTCACAGGCTGCGGAGGCTGGAAGATGGGGTATCAGGGAAGTGTTCCCACACCAGGCATTCATCTTTTAGAACAGCTGTGGATCTATGAAGGTGACCCCCAACTCCCCCCACGGTCCCGCTGATAACACAGGGACACGGAAAAGCCCCCACGGCCTACACACTGAGTGTGGCAAGGCTGGAGGGGAAGGTGAGAGGCCAGGAAAGGCTAGGGTGTGTTAACACTGCAAGAAATTGGAGCCACTGAGGCTTCCCCAAAGTGGGCCGACAAAGTGTCCCCAGCTTCATGTCCACCCACAACCTCAGAATGTGCCCTTATTTGGAAACAGGGTCTTTGCAGATGTAATTAAGATGAGGTCATTCTGGACCGGGGCCCTAAATCGAATGACTGTGCCCTTAGAAGAGGACACCAGAGCAGAGAAGAGGCAGAGACGGGAGCGATGGGGCCATAAGGTGAGAACACTGGGGACGCAGGCCAACATCAAAAGCCAGAAGAGAGGCGTGGGATGGTGTCTCCCATCAGGGCGTCCGGAAAGCAGCAGCCCTGCCTACACCCTGAATCGGACTTCCGGCCCCCTGAGCGGGGAGAATCCTTCCCTGGGGTGCCGAGACACCCAGGCTGTGCTCCTCTGGACAGCGGCCCCACGGCCCAGGTCCACCCGCTCCGTGTCCAGCCGTCACTGCCACGCTCAGTGCCCGGATTCTTCCCCCAGCCCGGGCACCGGAAATGTCCCACTGTCATCAGCTGGGCCCCCAGCAGGGGCACACGAGGTGTGTCCGAAATGCCTTCAGGTTAGGGTTCTGGTTCCAAGACAGTAACTCCAGCAGCTTCATGAACTCTGACCGTGAAATTCTGACCGGGGCCCCCGAGGCGGGGAGCTCAGTGAGCGGCGGCCGGGCTTCAGCCCGGGGGCCTCCTGGAGCCTCGCTGCGGGGCTCTGCGGGCCCGGCGGGTGCTGCGCTTCGCTGTGGGTCCGCTGGTGCTTGTGGAGGTCCGTGCCCCGGCGGAAGCCCCGGCCGCAGGCTGGGCACGCGAAGGGCTTCTCGCCCGCGTGTGTCCGCCGGTGCGCGCTGAAGTGGGAGCTGTTGCTGAAGCGCTTCCCGCACTCGGCACAGGCGTACGGCCGCTCCCCGGTGTGCGTCCTGCGGTGGATGACCAGGCTGGAGCTCTGGCTGAAGCGCTTCCCGCACTCGGCGCACGCGTACGGCTTCTCGCCCGTGTGGACCCTCTGGTGCGTGCTGAAGTTGGAGCGGTCACTGAAGCCCTTGCCGCACACCTGACACTTGTAGGGCCGCTCGCCGGTGTGCGTGCGCTGGTGCTTGGTCAAGTGGGACGTTTTGCTAAAGCCTTTGCCACACTCGGGGCACGTGTATGGCTTTTCGACTCGTCGGGGTCCTGCTCTTTCCAGAGGCTGCTCAGGTCTGGTCATGCCCCCAGCCGGCGCTCGGTCCCTCTCCCTTCTCATCGACGCGTCCTCCCTGGCGTCCTCTCCACCAAGTTGCAGCCCACGCCCTGGGACAGAGAAAGCACAGTCCCTGAGGCCCTCACGGGGAGAGGGGATGCGTCTAATAAGAGGGCAGAGGCTGGGCGGCTGTCCCATCCGAGGAACACGAGAGCGAGGCTCAGAGCACTTAGCAGGCGAGTGTCAGACCCCGAGTGGAGATGATGAACCATGGCCAGCAGCCCATTAAACCTGCACAACGCCAGTGAGGTGGGTGCCGTTACTGCCCCCATCATAAGATGGGGAAACCGAGGCACGGGGATGTTGAGGAACTCACCCAAAGTCACTCAGCTAGTAAGTTACAGGGTGGGCTCTAGAGTCTGGGCACATAACCTTTAGGCCAAGGGTTCTCCTCTGGGGGCAGTGGCGGCCCTCAGAGGGCACTGGGCAGTGTCTGAAGGCATTTTTGGTTGTCACACTTGCCGCTAGTGGGTGGAGGCCAGGGACGCTGGTGAACATCCTATAGCTCACAAGACAGCATCATAACAGAGAATTCTACAGCCTCAATGTCAACAATGTTTTGGTGTTTAACCAAACAAACCACAACCAGACTAAATACCCTATCACAATGTTATCCGTAGATCTGCATTAACAGCTACAATCAGCTGACTGAAAAAAAAAACCAGATCACCCTCCATACTGTAGGTGGGCCTCAACTCATCAGTAGAAGGTCTTAGGAGCAGAACCTGAGGCTTCTCAGAGAGGGGCAGAGGGAGAGAGAGAATCCTAAGCAAACCTCTTGCCCAGCATGGAGCCCCTTGGAGGCCTGGAGATGATGACCTGAGCTGACATCAAGGTGGACACTCAACCGACTGAGCCAGCCAGGTACCTTCCCCCCAGAGAAGGAATTCTACCGCAAGACTGCAATACAGAAATCCTACTCAGGTTTCTAGTCAGTTGGCGGCCCTGCAGATCTCAGACTCAGGACTGCAACATCAATTCCCACTCGAATTTCCAGTCTGCAAGCCTGTCCTATGATTTTACGCTTGCCAGAAGTCACCATCCTACGAGCCAATTCCTTAAAACAAATGTCTTAACTTACACACATACATACACACAATTGCTTCTGTTTCTCTGAAGAAACCCAACTGACACCAAGAGGCAGCTCAGTTCCTTGAGCTGAACGTGTTACGGGGAGTGAACGGGTATCTGCAATGTCAAGAGAGCGGAGCAGGGAGAGCAGCGGTGCTGTGCGGGGAGCTGGGGGTGGAGGTGGTCAGGAGAGGCTGTGATGGTCAAGGCCTTGCCGGGAGCAGCTCGACCCACAGGGCTGTGGGCAGCACAGAGGCGGACGTGAAACTGGACCAACCACGGGTGAAGGCACAAAGGAACAAGGAACCCGGGACCGCTGTGGCACCTGCCTGGGGCGAGGTGAGCAGCTGCACTCTCCCCACTGCCAGGCCCCTGCCGGGTCACTGGCAACCCTGGCTTGAGGCTGCACCCAGCTGCTTGCTGAGCGGACGCGCCAGGGAGCGGCCCTGGCCCACGGAACCCACCCGGGCACGGGGTGCGTTCCTGTTTCAGCACGCTCCCCAGAGTCCTCGGGCCACTGCGGCCTGAGAACTGTTGAACTGGCTTTCGTAAGCGATGGGGAGACACGGGAAATCGGAGCAGGGAGATGCCGGGCCTGGCATCCCCGAGGCCCACGCACAGTTGTTGGGAAATGCCGAGCCGGCCACGGCCAGCCTGGGGAAGGAGCCCCCCTCCCTGAGACCGGCCCACGTCAGACACGCCACCGATAAGCAGTGGCCGGGGCCTCTCCGCACGTTACCCCTGTGTTCCGGCCGTGCGTCCCAGCTACAATCCCGCTGAGCTGGGTCTGGGCTCTCCCACTCCTCCTGGGACAGGTACGCTGCCACGTCCTCCAAGGTCACTGGCACCTGCTGGAATGCAAACCACTCAGTCCCACACTGCGGCTCCGTAAGGTGGGCCAGCCTGGTGGGCTCGCACACCCCCTCCACCTGTATCACAATGGCAGGTCCTCCTTGTCTCCCCCAACTTCCTCTCTTCAATACCTTCCCTCTCCATAGGCTGTTGTCCACCCCTCCTCCTCAGGCTCTGCTCACAGAACGGCTGAATCCTGCTCCCTGGGAGGACACCATCACCGCCGCACTCTGTCCCTCTGCTGCTGGGCCAGAGACAGTGCAGACAGATTCACCGTCTGGAGCAGCTGGTTCCCCTGTGCGTGCAGCCACTGGGGCCCAGGTTCTCCAGGGGCATGAGTTAGGCATGCCCTGCCTCAGCTCAACCAGCCCTGGGACCCGAGTGGGGTGTCTTGGAAACTTCAGGAAGCCTCTAGGTCAGTCGTTCCAAATCTAGCACCAAACTGACTCAAGGAGCAGATTAAAACCCAAGCAAACAAGGTCTAGAAGAGGCAAATCTGTACACACAGAAAGCAGGTTGCCAGGGGCTGGGGAAGGGGGGATGGGGGGGGCTGCTCCTAATGAGTATGGGGTGTGCTGGGGAGGCAAGTGTTTTGAGAACTGGGACGACGGCTGCATAACTCTATAAATACGCTAAATGCCATTCAGTCCGAGCAGCTGAGCAGGGTGTGTGTGAATTACACCTCGGTAAGGCTGTATTTTTTTTTTTTTAAGATTTATTTATTTATTTTAGAAAGAGCAAGAGTAGCACGAGCAGGTGGAGGAGCAGAGGCGGAGAGAGTCTCCCGCAGACTCCCCACTGAGGACAGAGTCTGTATGGGGTTTGACCTCCCAACCCTGAGATCATGACCTGAGCCCAAATCAAGAGTCAGGTGCTTAACCAACTGAGCCTCCCAGGTGCCCCTCAATAAAGCTGTTATTTAAACAAACAAGCAAGGGCGCCTGGGTGGCTCAGTGGGTTAAGCCTCTGCCTTCGGCTCAGGTCGTGATCTCAGGGTCCTGGGATCAAGCCCCGCATCGGGCTCTCTGCTCAGCGGGGAGCCTGCTTCCTCCTCCTCTCTCTCTCTCTCTCTCTCTGCCTACTTGTGATCTCTCTCCTTCTGTCAAATAAATAAATTAATTAATTAAAAAAATAATAAACAAACAAGCAAAGGAGATTTCAATGCCAGGGCTGGGGGAGGAATTTATATTTTTAACCCAAAGTCCCAAGAGTCTAGCGCCTGGCTGGGTTGGAAACGACTGCCCCAGCTCACCACTAAGCCCCAGAATCCTCTGGGGCACAACTAATACTCGATGGGATCCAAGAAAAGGCCCTCAGGAGGTAAGTCGGGGTAAAGGGGCCATTCCACGAGGGAGTGCCTCTGCGAGTTGGACCTGGCACAGGAGAGAAGTGTCCCCGTGACAAGGACGGGGTACACACAGGAAAGAGGCAAACTGGGAACGTGCACTCACCTGGGACCAAGACGAAATGAAGGACGAGGCTGAAGCTGCTGTCTCCTGATGCTGGGAGGCCGCTGGGCCTGGGGAAAGAGCAGAGTTGCCAGAGAAGGCCACAAGCCCACCAGTGCACACAGTAGCGAAGGCCCAGACAGGTGCAACTACTCCCCACCTTTGCTCAGCTCCCAAGGGAGGAACTTGTCCTTCCCACATGCACAGAGGCCCAGCCTCCTGTGATGCCCCCTTCCCTCTGCCTCCTTCCCCTGCAGGGCTTCTTTCATCTAGAGGGATGGCTACTCACCCCTCTTTGGCCAGAGCTGGGGGCCCCTCTTTGGTCTGCGGCTCCGTTGGGATGGGGGCTGCTGGCTGGAGCATCCAGACCCTTCCTCCGGAGACAGCTCCTCCGGCCTGGCCTCCACTTGGTGTTTCAAGGACTTTTCTCCTGCCCCGTGGGGCGCTACATCATCAGGGAGCACCTCCAGGCCCTGCATGCAGACAGAGATCTGTTCACCAGCTCCCACAAAGTTGGGAGAAAACCCATGAGGTCCCCAACCACTGTCTCCGGCACCCCTGGCCATCCTCCTGTTCCCAGGCTTTGCCTAACTGTGCCTCACCCCCCCACCCCCACCCAGGGCTTCCTCTCCCTGTCTACCCCCATGGCCCACCACATGCCACACAGTCCTCCCTCCAGACACGCTAGAAGGAGGAATGTTGAGCTGCGAATAGGTCAAGGCTCCCAAGTGGGACAAAGTGAGACCTGCTCTGTCCCTGGATGAGTCTCCCCAGTCTCTCCCCATCACACTGCACCGTGTCATTGTCATACTCTTATCCTTCCTTCCTTGCTGCTCCCAAATGACCTGGGCCAGGAGGACCCCGAATCAGGTCTCATTTCAGAAGTTTGCACTATTTCATGTGCTGCATTTTTTGAATTCACCTGCCGGCGCTCTGAAACCATCTATTTCCCAATTCCAGAGAAGGTAAAGAGGATGAACTTGGAGTTTACTGAGCTCTGCAAGAGTACTTGGGACAAGAGACATCTCCGGGGAACTGTGAAACCACTGCCAGGGACCCCTGTGTCAGGCTCAACATTGCACACTTCTAAGAGGAGACAGTCCCCAGAGGTTATGGGGTGCACGGAGCCAGAGGGAAGCCATGCTAAGAACCCCAACACCAAAGCTGGAGGGGCTGGGAAGGGATCCTGAATTCCTGCTGGCCACGACAGCAGGATTTGCCTACTGCAATCAACACACACTATGGTCAAGTTTGGGGAGGGATGTGTCTATGCTGCTGGGCAAATAGAAAAGCAGTGTATGGCCAATGGTACCACCATAAGAAGAAAGGTCACCTGTCCATATCTGCCAAATATTTAATCTAGAAAAACTAATCTAATCGAAGCAAGAGAAATCTGTAAGACTTCCCACTCCTCAGATTTTCTTAGAAGCTGGGAGCATGCCCTAGAGTGGTGCTGTCCACAGAACTTTGCATGACGACAAAGTGTCGTACATCTTCATTGTCTAGTATCCAGTACAGGGGCCACTGGCCACGCGTGACAACTGAGCCCTTGAAATGTGCCTGGTGTGACCTAGGAACTACAATGACATATTTAGTTGTAATTAAAAAAAAAAAAAACACATGTGGCCAGTAGCCACTGCCTGGGATGGCACAGCTCCAGAGAGCCTGGGGACATGCGGGGTCTCTAACTAGGGCATCCACCAGCCCCTGCTTTTTCTTCCTCCTCATTCTGGGATCTCTTCAACCCCCAGCACCCTGCCTGGAAAAGTCTTATAGACTTTCCTATAACCTCCCTCCCGTCAAAAGCTGTGTCTGACCTCCACCGGGATGATACTGACGAACCAAACCACACATCTAGTGGGCTACCTGTGCTTAGTCAATGGATTTACACCCATCAGCCAAGGCTGAGAAACACTTCGCAGTTGTGTTCTTCAATTCACAGGTACAGGCAGCCCCAGTCCCCCCCCCAACAGGGACCCAGGCAGACCATGGCTCCAGAGCCCAAGGAATTTCCAAATGCAGACCTCAGGGGCAGGGCCCTGAGGTCTTGGGGCCCCGTTTCCTCACCTCAGGGCCAAATTGCCCCCCACCTCACCCGCTGCCTCTGTTTCCTGGGCTCCCGCTGCAGCCCTTCCACGAGGACCACGGCCTCCTCACCACTCTCCGGCTGCTGCTCCCGCACCCGGGCCTGGATCTCCCCTGGCAGCACCATCAGGAACTGCTCCAGCACCAGCAGCTCTAGGATCTGCTCCTTGGTGCGCAGCTCTGGCCGCAGCCAGCGGCAGCAGAGCTCCCAGAGGCGGCTCAGGGCCTCCCGCGGCCCCGCCACCTCCTGATAACAAAAGAGCCGGAAGAGCTGGCGGAAGGTCTCAGGGCTGGGGTCTTCTGGCTCCAGGGAGGGCTCCTCTTCCCAGCAGAAATCCTCCTCCACCTTCACAATCAAGATCTCATCTTGGTCCAGGGGCGGTGGAGGCTGGAGACCAGGTGTGGTTGCCATTGTCTGGGGCGGGTCTTGCTTTCTTTTGCCTCAGGGCTCAAATTTGTGCTTCCCCGAACCTCAGACACACTGGATAAGAGGTTTGCAGGACTCTGTACAGAAACAATAAATAAAGTCATCTGGGTGCGGGTTAGGGCTAGATAAGCATCTACCCATAAGCCCCTGTGCTTGCCCCAGAGCCAACTCACACTCACTAGCAAAAGAAAACGGCTTTAATTTGTAAGTGAAAGCATTCTTGCGGCTACCCCCTGCTAATTCCCAGGCAAGTTACTCAAACCCTCCCAGCCTCGATGCCGCATTCAAAAAGCGGAGAAAATGGTATCCCTACACAGAGGCTGCAGAGAAGACTAAAGAATTTTTGGAAAGGGTTTCGCGCATTGCCTAGAATAGGATCAGACTTAGAGAAACGCGGTTTTTATTACCACGGCTGGCCCACCTGGGCTGGGGTCCCTTTGGAAATATGGTGAGAACCAGGGCGCCCTCTGACTGCGAGGACGCGGATTCTGTCACGACCTGACCCCCGATTTCGGGCCCTGCAAGCCCCAAAGGCCCGCCGGGTACCCCCGACTGGATGGTCACCTCGGCCTCTCCAACTCCAGGGTCCTGGGAGTGCTGGGAGTCCCCGGCCGGGATGCTTTCGTCCTCAGGTGGAGGGTGAGCGGTAGCCCAGGCCGAGCACAAACCCGGGCTCTGACGTGGGCCCGGGATGGAAGCTCAAGCCGGGACCCCGCGCCCTGCACCCGCACTCACCGGCAGCGAGGCAGGCCCGGCCGAGAGTGGACCGCGGGAGCAGGGGGCGCAGCAGGCAAGCTGCCCACAGACGAGACAGACAAACCCGCACAACGAACACCCGAGACGGGTCCTCGTGAGCCGCAGATTCAGCACGCTGTGGGCGGGCTCACCGGCGCATTGTGGGTAATGTAGTCCCCGCGCTACTGGCCGAGCCGGCTATCGAGTGTGGGAGGGAGTCTGGATAGGTGGGTCCACGGCGGGCATTGTGGGCAATGTAGTCCTTGAACTGTTGCAGACCAGCTGTAAGAGAGTGAGAATGAGACCGCGTGGGCGGGCCCACGGGAGGCATTATGGGTAAAGTAGTCCTTGCACCTTCAGTGAGGGGGCAAGGTTTTCGAGGCGCCGCAGGTCAATGTAGTGACCAAGGCCTGGCTGACATAGCCCTGGCCCTCCTCCTGTCTGGGCAATTTTCAGTGACTACAACCAACAGAGGTTTAAAGGACAAGTTTCTGCTTTGCTCCAGATTTTGCGTGTGTTTGTTCAGGATTTCAATCTTTTTTTTCTTCTTAAGATTTTATTTATTTGAGGGGCGCCTGGGTGGCTCAGTGGGTTAAGCCTCTGCCTTCAGCTCAGGTCATGATCCCAGCTTCCTGGGATCGAGCCCCACATTGGGCTCTCTGCTCAGTGGCGAGCCTGCTTCCCCCCTATCACTCTGCCTGCCTCTCTGCCTGCTTGTGTTCTCTCTGTCAAATAAATAAATAAAATCTTTTAAAAAAGAATAAGAAGAAGGAGCAGCAGCAGCAGCCGGCAGGGCGCCTGGGTGGGTGAGTGGGTTAAGCATCAGCCTTCTGCCCAGGTCATGATCCCAGATTCCCTAGGAAGCAGCTCTCCATCGTGTTCCCTGCTCAGCGTGGTGTCTGCTTGTTCCTCTGCTCCCTACCCTGTTCCTGCTCTCTCTCTCTCAGATAGGCGCCCCTTCTTTCTGAAATAATAATATTGGCCTCCAACTCCGGAGCACCTGGCGATACACATTTGCTCTCCCTCTGTTCTTATTTTGGTAATAATAGGGATAGTGTGATCTCTACAAGTAAAACCCCCTGAAGCTCCGAGGAGGTTACACAGCCGGGAAGCGCCAGAAACGGGACTGGAAGCCACGTCTCTGATTCCAGAACCCCAGCCCCGAAGCACCAGGCTAAAGCACTCTGGCCCGGAATAATAACCCAGGCATCCTAACGCCTGACTCGGTAGCTACACTGGACTCTCGTCCTCTTTGGCTGAACACGCTATGCCCCATTTCCCCATCTGGGGCGCGCCCAGAAAGGCCAGGAAGGGTCCTGAGATCCATTTCCGCTTCTGCCTGGTGGCTGCGACGACGCGCCACACACATTAGGACATCAGCTAAGTTAGGACATCAGCTAAGAAGACGCGATCCATACCTACCGCGACAGCAGCAGTCTCTCGAGTCTTTCCCCAAGCCTCGCGCAAGTCCGTGACCGCCGGAAGCGGAAGTCGCCGGAGACGGAGACCGGACCAGACAGGACCGGACTACACTTCCCAGAGTGCCCCGCGCCGCGCTTGGAAATTCTGTTACTTGGGCGCTCCTGGGGTGCTGTGGGATGCCGCTCTGCCTTGGGGTTCAGCACGGGAGACGGCTCTGCGAGGGCATCGGAGGGTGGTTTCATCCTCAGGGCAGCCACGTCCAGGTTACTGAAGCCTGGCCAGCCCCTCGTGGGCTATGAGCCTCAGTTTCCACATCTGTGAATGGGGACGTTAGCCGTTCACGGTTGTATCAAGTTCAAAACCATTCATACGTATTTTCCAAAGCATATTGAGACCTCCCATCTGCTAGCCGCAGGCGTTATCACAGTGGTTAGTTAGCAGGCGCTTGTTTTTGCGAAACTCAAATTCTACCAAGAGAGTATCTTGGAGATAGATCTACCTTGATCTTCATAACTAGGATGGTGATTTTTAAAAACGATTTTATTTATTTGTGTGACACACAGAGAGAGAATATAAGCAGACAGAGGGAGAAGCAGGCTCCCCACGGAGCAGAGAGCCTGAGATGGGGCTTAATCCCAGGACCCTGGGATCATGACCTGAGTCGAAGGCAGAGGGAACCACCCAGGTGCCCTAGCACAGTGACATTTCATAGGTCTTCTTAATTCCATATTATTGATTTACCAACCTTCCTTGGGTATCTTTAAATCTTACATTCCTTTCTAGAAGAATAGAAAGGCCTCCCATGTCACAGAACAGCAGTTAGACCTCTTGCACAACCCTCCAGCACTGAGAGCTGTAAAGAGGCACCACTAAGTCCACTTGGAATCGGGACCTGTTATAGACCACTGCACCCTCTCACTGATTAAAGATCCCTCCCCCTTTAAAACTCTCCTGGCTAGGCAGAAACCAGGGAGTTGGCTTTTGGACAGGAGTCCCACTTCTCTGCAGGTGGCTGGCCTCCTGAATAAAACTCATATTCCTTTCCAAACAATATTCCTCTTTTGAGTACTGGCCTTTGAAGGGACAGGCAGCTGAAGTTGCGATTTGGTAACAAGAGGCATAAAGTGACGAAATCATCACACAAGTATTCCTTGAACATATATAACATATTCCTGTCCCAGGGCCTTTGCACTAGCAGTGGCTTCTTTTCCCTCTGTGTGGAATGCCAGGACCCTAGTTATCTCTGTGGCTTACTGCTCTACTCCTTCACATCATTACTCAAGGTTCCTTCCCAGTGAGGTCTTCCTGACCCCTTCCTCCAATTATAAACCCTAGACTGTCCAATACCTCTTAAATGCCTTACTTGCTGCTTCTGCACCCATCACTATCCATTATGCCCACATTTTTCTTATTTTATTAGGATCTTGTCCCACCTAGGTGCAAGCTCCTGAGGGCAGTGACTTGGTTTTGTTCCCTGCTGAACCCTTAGCCTCTGTAGTAGCACATAGTGGATCCTAAAGTTCTATGGGTAGAATTAATACATGGATGGTTGTAGCTCTGCCTCAATTTTTTTCTTCAGGCTTGAGATATAGTTGACAAGTAACATTGTGTTAAGTTTAAGGTATACACTGTAATGATTTGATACACACATCTATATTGTGAAAGGATCACCACAGTAAGGTTAGCACATCTTGTCACCTCACATAGTTATATCTTCTTTTGAGTGTGGTGAGAACATTTAAGATCTGTTCTCTGGGCCACTTTCAAGTATACAACATATGTTAACTATAACCACTATACTGTACATTAGATCTCGAGAAGTTTTTCTGTCTTATGACTGCAAGTTTGTAGCCTCTGACCTACCTACGCCTGCTCTCCCCCATATCCCAGCCCCAGGTGATCACTGCTCTACTCCGTTTCTATGAATCCAGCTCTTTTAGATTCCCCATAAGACCAAGATCATTCAGTGGCACCTGGGTGGCTCAGTCAGTTAAATGTCTGCCTTTGGCTCAGGTCATGATCCTGGGGTCCTGGGATCGAGTCCTGCATGGGGCTCCCTGCTCAGTGGGGAGTCTGCTCCTCCTTTTCTCTCTGCCCGTCTCCCCCTCTGGTGTTCTCTCTCAAATATATTAATAAAATCTTTAAAAAACTAGGCAAGATTGTACCGTGGTTGTCTTTACTTCTTTTTTGTTTTCTCTTTCTCTTTCCTTCCTTCCTCTCTTTTATTTGCAAGGTGGGGGAGGGACAGAGGGAGAAGGAGAAAATCCTCAAGCAGACTCCCCACTGAGCCTGGAGCCCAATCTGGGCTCAATCCCAGGACCCTGAGATCATGACTTGATCCGAAATTAAGAGGCAGATGCTTAACCAACTGAGCCATCCAGGAACCCTGAGAAACATAAGGTCTAATACTATCTCTAAATACAATTGCAGAGCCCAAGTCCCTGTGCTGGTAGATATCCCCACCGTATTGGCTGGGGCTATGTTGACCTCAGGAATGTGCTCAATCCCTCTGTGGCAACACGCTACCTCTGGGATGCTGGTGTGGATGGTGTGGGTCCCCACAGGCCCCGGGGAGTTCCTTAAGCCTGGTTGGCAGATTTGTGAATTGGTGGGGTGAACAGCTATGAGGCAGGCAATCTAGGGTTCGTTCACTTAACAGCTGGGTCCCGACCAGCTGTCATGTCCAGGATGAAGCTGATATAGCTCTGTCCTTACAGACCTCCCAGCCTGAGAGGGAGACTGACCTGAAAACAAACCATGTGATACATGCAGAGCAGGCAGCCAGTCATCAGCCTGGGGAAGTCATGGAGGGCATCGTGGAGGAGGCAACTTCCAGTTCGTGGGATGGTTAGTTTTCAGTGTCTACTTACCCAGACCAAAGGATGGCCAGACAGCTGGCAAGATCTTATTTCTGGGTACATTTGTGAGGGTGTCTCCAGAAGAGACTGGCATTTGATTTGGTAGACTGAGTAAAGAGGATTGCCCCTCCCCGCTGTGGGTGGGCATTACCCAACCTACTGAAGGCTCTAAAGGAGCAAAAAGGCAGAGGAAGAATGGATTTCTTCCCCCTGCTTGAGCTGAGAACAGTCTTCTCCTCATGCTGGTCTGCCTGGGCAGGGCAAAGAGGAAGACAGGAAAGGGAGTTTGGGGAAGATAGCTGAAGATGGGGACTTTTTAAGCATTTATGACGGAGGGTCCGGCCCTGTGTGGGGAAGGAGGGTTGGCAGACCACGACAGAGCCAGATTTGGAACTTGGCTCTGGTTTTGGGGCGAAGGGGCTTGTGGTCCAAGGTACATGCTCCCAGGTCTTCAGGACTCCCCAAAGGGCCTGGGGTCTCACACCGTTATTTAAAAAAAAAAAAAAAAGAAGAAGAACCATGCTTTTATCTGATGATAGCTCAAAGAAATCATCTACAGGATGCCTTTTGTTTTCCAAGCACAGCTTTTCATAAAAAGCAATG